ATCTAATAAGTAACTACCTTTGTCCTAAATTTGCTACTACTTACTGCTTAGTTAATCTTGCTTCTCTATTAGTTAATAGTATTATGCGCCGGTGAGTCTCATGAAAACAAGAGCAAAGGAAGCAAAGTTTCCTTACTTTAGCAAAGGAAAACCAGTCTCCTCTTGGCTTACATCGAAATCCTCCGACATTCTTCTTTACAAATCCTCGTTTTGTACTTCTAATTCTAGACCGTTGTTCTGTTTTGATCTCTCCGCTGCGCTTCCGCGTGCGTCACTTCTGAGCAGCGCACGCTGAACTCTTAACGTCATCCGCCCGGAGCTGCTTCCGTTTACAAAAGTGAACACAAGCTACATTAAAGTGATTATTACATTTTAAATATGGTTATTTTTCTTACAAAAACGCATCGATTCGCTACAGGAGGCCTTTGTTCACCCCCCGGAGCCGTGTGAGACACTTTTTTTTTATATATATATATATGGATGGGTGCTTTTTATTTCACTTCTTTTGGACTGAAGCACTGCAACACCCGCTGACTGCAATGATAGAGCTTGGAATAGCCAGGACAATTTTTTATATAACTTCGACTGGATTCGAAGAAGAAAGTCATACAACACCTAGGATGTATCGGGGGCGAGTAAAACAGCCTAATTTTCATTTTTGGGTGAACTAACCCTTTAAGTCGCTGGGCTATATTTGTAGCAATAGCCAAAAATACATTGTATGGGTCAAAATTATTGATTTTTCTTTTATGTCAAAAATCATTAGGATATTAAGTAAAGATCATGTTCCATGAAGATATTTTGTAAATTTCCTACTGTAAATATTAATTGCTAATTACAACATTGACATAAAAACATAAGGCCTGTAAAATTACTAGAAAATATTTTTTGTTTTTCGTCAGGTGTGTGATGTACTTTTTTTTAATTACATGTCATTATGTTGCTGTGTTGATGCCAGTCACTGCATTGCTGATCATGATTTTGATATCTTTGTAAACTCATGCAGTCCTATTTATTCATATTATTATCACAATACTACAAATCTGTTCATAATCTGTTAGTATGTTTATTCTGACTAAACTTACCCGTTTCTTTTATACTGTTTTTAGATTTTATTCTTACATTTGATTAAGTGTCTTATATTTATATGTGTGTACTGAACCAGGGACAATATAATTTAAAGTAATAAATCAAACATTAATTTGCAAAATATTATAATGTTGATTAATTTTATTAAGTGTCTTATTATATTTATGTGTGTACTATGTGTGCTCCAAAACCAAAGTACATTGCTAGTCTGTGCAAGACAATAAAAACCAATCAAACGTGGTAGTTATAGTGAAGCTAAGGTAACCACGAGTTAAGCATGGTTGTGCTATGCTATATAGCTAAACCAGGGTATTTGTAGCGAAGCTGTAAACAAACACATCATTGCCCTCCGCAAACATCAACCGTTTCTTGTTTTTCTCTAGCATTCGTTGAGGACCTGTGCATCTTTGAGTCTGCATACATCAGTGTTTATTTGTGTTTGTCTATAATTTGTCTTAAATCTCATTTTGTTCAAAAAAATAATAGTGACTAGAATCAAATCGCGAGTTGAGTGAATCGTTACATCCCTATTGATCAGTAATTACAACAGCTAAAGTTTCTGAACTTGTAGTAAATGCTCCGAGAATGAAAACCAACCTGTTTGTTCCTCGGTTTCTTCTTGTTTGACTCTGAACGCTTCTTCAAGCTTCACGTCTTCACTCTCCTCTTTAATAACCGCCATCTTTATATGAGTGTGTCACGTGGTTCTCAGCCGCTTCGGCCGGAGTTTTTCTCTGTGTTCGGACGCTCTGTCAAGTTTAAGATGAGAAAAATGAACAGAAATAACACTAAACAAGTAATGATTTAGTATTTAATCATTTGTGGTTTACATTTAAGAGATGACGCTTTCATGAAAACATGGGTAGCTGGTTTGTTAAAGTTGCCATTATTAAATGTGTTTGTTGTTCTCGTTGCGTTTTGATCCGGAAGACTCGCTGAATCACTGAATCACTCCGCGAAGCAATCGGCTCAACTGACTCGTTTCAAAAAGATCCGTTTTTCTATCGATACTCGCCAGTGATTCTTGTTTGTGATAAACGTTACTCGTGAACAAAGCGCTACTCGAACGAAATAACGTCCATTAATGTTAGTCAGGTATTACAACGTTACATTCTATGATCATTGAGCCATTTTACAGCACTTTAAAACTCACAAAATAGTCCGCGCTGGCTGCATCGACTTAAACACGCTAAACGCTTAAAAACACAAACCTTTCTTCAGCCGAATACACACAGACGCCGGAGCGGCCTTATGACGTCACAGCGCCATTCCAAAGTAAAAGTCCCGAAAAATGAAAAAATTAAATAAAAGAAATCGCAAAAAATTTAAAGACAAAAACCAAAGAAAAAAACACAACCACAGGGTTACCTTTGCGTTTCTAAATTCTTATTAATCCAGTATTTTCAAGAAATATAAACAAAGCTTTGAGTCTATTTCTTTCCATCCCTTGTTCTCTAAGAATATATTCAATTTTATTTTCTTCTTCCATTTCTGCCTGTATTCATGGTATTTATTGCATCTAAACAATTTCCTTGGTTTGACATCTTGTACATAATCCATTACTCTTCCCTAATATTATCTGCAATGTATCATTCAATCCAGTTTGACCTAATCTCGGCGTTCACAAGATAAACCACTGTGTAATAAAGTAGATGGCAGAGGAATTAATACGAGTTGAATTCTTGGTTAGACACATATTTAAATACATGTCCAATGATTTGCTGAAAACAAATCATTGGACATGCATTGTATAAAAGTAAAGCTGCTTTTTACAATAAATAAATATATACACAAGTAAATAAATTACTGTGTGTGTGCAATCTGAATCTATCTTTCCTTTCAAAAAATGGTACAATATTAGGATAATCCGGGTTTTTTTTTTTTTCATAAAAGAAGTGAAAGGTGACTGTGTATTTATGGAAGATATATGCATTGCAAAAAATGTTTTGTTTCACAGTTAATGTTGTATACGTAAAGTCTAAGCAGTAATAGTTGTATTCACTTGCAGTGCATTAGCAACAGTCTTCCCAATGGGAGCTTTTGTAGTTGAAGGTGCTCAGGATGACACGATGTGCTGATGGAAAGGTCCCCGTCATGGACTTGTCTCTGAGATGTTGACACAAGCTCTTTGAGGTGTCCCACTGGAGAGATGAGTTGAGCTTAACTTGGTTGAGCTGAAGTTTAAGTGACTGATCTCAAATCAACTCTCAGGGCCAACAGACTGGACAAATTCAATTCATCCAGCTGTGAAGGTATCATGCATCACGCCACTTAATTATTCCCTAATTGATCCCTCCTCATCTTCCTGCTCAAGTGGTTAAACATTTTTGAACATTTTACACATTCTCATTGGTACTTTTAAAATATTGGTAACACCTGCAGCACATTTCTTACAGTACTTATTAAAATGACCAATTATGTTAGTTAATAAAATATAACTTCATCGTTAGTGAAAGTTAGCTCAGTTCCACAAATTTGTAAATGTTGAAATGAACATTAACAAAGATTAATAAATGCCTTAGAAGTGTTTTCATTATTAGATCATGTAAACTAACTAACATTACTAATGTTCATGTAATAACTCATGTCTATTATATGATGTCTGGACTGAGAATTCTGTATATGTTATTACATTTCAGATCGCTGAACTGTTTGACTGTTTTTTGACGATGTTGTTTTCACTTGCTCCATTTCTTTAATTAGTTGATTATTGTGTACAGATATTACAATATCTGTCAGTTTCTATACATTTTGCTTTAAATGTTTTTTCTATGCATTTTACATTAAGTACAATGAATATGGCTAAATAATCATTAAGTCTGATGTGTTTTATCACCTCCCTGCCATAAACACAAATGTGTAATGCTGCTCTGATCGTAAAGCTACCAAGTAGGTTAAACATAATAAGATCATTAAACCAATTCCAATTTGAACATTTAGTTACAAGTGGTTAACAAAAAGTACGAGGCAATGTGGACCACAATGAAACTGTCCCACATCCAGCAAGACCAGACAGGAGGCTATAATTCATGCCAAAGGTCTCACATCAAGAAGAACTTGAAGAGTGCACTACTTTGTGGACAGATTTTTATGATTATGATTATTGAACATCTGTCTGCCGCATACATCATTGGGGTCTCGTGATACTGAACTGCTCATTAAACTCACTGAACAATTCAAATGACAATGTTATTGAAATAATTGGAAATTTGTAATAAAGTTGGATGTGATACTCAACACCTATCATTTGTTATAAAGCTGTGACTTTTAAAGTAAATCATATAATTGCACACACACAGTAATTTATTTACTTAAGATGTCAAACCAAGGAAATTGTTTAGATGCAATAAATACCATGAATACAGGCAGAAATGGAAGAAGAAAATAAAATTGAATATATTCTTAGAGAACAAGGGATGGAAAGAAATAGACTCAAAGCTTTGTTTATACTTCTTGAAAATACTGGATTAATAAGAATTTAGAAACGCAAAGGTAACCCTGTGGTTGTGTTTTTTTCTTTGGTTTTTGTCTTTAAATATTTTGGGATTTATTTAATTTTATTTGTTCATTTTTCGGGACTTTTACTTTGGAATGGCGCTGTGACGTCATAAGGCCGCTCCGGCGTCTGTGTGTATTCGGCTGAAGAAAGGTTTGTGTTTTTAAGCGTTTAGCGTGTTTAAGTCGATGCAGCCAGCGCGGACTATTTTGTGAGTTTTAAAGTGCTGTAAAATGGCTCAATGATAATAGAATGTAACGTTGTAATACCTGACTAAAATTAATGGACGTTATTTCGTTCGAGTAGCGCTTTGTTCACGAGTAACGTTTATCACAAACAAGAATCACTGGCGAGTATCGATAGAAAAACGGATCTTTTTGAAACGAGTCAGTTGAGCCGATTGCTTCGCGGAGTGATTCAGTGATTCAGCGAGTCTTCCGGATCAAAACGCAACGAGAACAACAAACACATTTAATAATGGCAACTTTAACAAACCAGCAACCCATGTTTTCATGAAAGCGTCATCTCTTAAATGTAAACCACAAATGATTAAATACTAAATGGGACATTCCACCGAATGGGTAACATTTCTGTCCCCAGGACATTAAAAGTATAAAAATGCATGAAAATGAACTCTAAAATACATTTTATTATTAAGCAAAGTGTCTTCACATTTAGCTAACTGCAAAATTTTGAATGTATAATTAAAATCATTAATAAAAACTACCTAGAACACTAAATAAATAGTAGTTGTTGCATGTCCCCACTCCCTGCCTCTATAATTTACCGTGAAATATTATGATTAAAATCCTTCAGAATTTTTTTTTTTGCATTTATGTGTGACTTTGTATTCAATCAATGATTACCTTTTTTTCAAAAGAAAAAAAATCCATAACATTTTTGATAAAATACACATTTAGGTTTACACTCAGTCCTGTTACCCTAACACATTCCCCCCTCTGATCAACTTGGAACATTCCAAAATATATTTTGTCAACAGCAAGTTGCATTATCCAGATCTTCTGAAGGCAACGGGGAGACCAAAGGTAAGTCGTCTATTTTCATTTCAATATATTTGATGATATTTCAACTGTGTCTGAGAGGGTCAATCTCAACATACTGCCCTGTTACCCAAATTATTTTTAGATGTTATTTGTTCATTTTAAAAATACACTTGTTTGATAAATCACTAGAATTTGCTCAGTATCCTCATGCTATTAGCATGTATTTGCTAATTCTATGCTAAAATCTCAGTCCTGTTACTCATATAAGCCATAACAGGACAGAGTAATAGTAACAGGAGTGAGTTGCATTCTCTGGTCCATTGATATAATAGTGTGAATATTAGTTTATGTAATAAAAAGAAAAAGTAAATCATATGTTTTACAGTTACCATTACTTATATTGTAAATGCATCATATGTACCATGTATTTACCATACTTGCAGAGTGCTAATCCACCACAGAGAAGCAGCGCCTTTATCATGAACGACGTGATGCAGACCCAAGAAACAGACACAACAATCAAGTTGTTTTTTGTCAGTGAGGAATCAATTGAGAAAGCAGTTTCAGAGATGCCCAATGATGTGCCACCAGTTCCATCCATTATGAGGATCCACCAGGTAGTGTCCCTAGCCCATGGAGAACTGATATACAGGGATGTCAGCTGCTTGTGCACAACAACACAACATCTGAACTGTGGGTGCTTTAATGCAAAGCATTTCAAGTTCCACATTCAGCAGACAGCTCCCATGGCTCCCACAATGACAGAAGTTCAGTGGCAAAAGCCTTGAAGTTGTTGGCAAATGGTGTGTGCTGAAGTATGATGGTGATCTATGGTGTCATCACACTCCTGTAAAATAAAAAAATGGCTTTGCATTTTTTTTTTTAATTACACCTTGTGTATGTATTTTTAAAAGTAAGAATTTTTAAAAGTTGCAAAAGCAAATGTTACCCATTCGGTGGAATGTCCCAAATCATTACTTATTTAATGTTATTTATTTTTATTTGCCTAGTCGGGTCATGTAAAACCAATTTACTATCAATCTTTGACTCTCTTATCAGTGCAATGATTACTAAACCAGATTAATTTTTCTCATCTTAAACTTGACAGAGCGTCCAAACACAGAGATAAACTCCTTCAGAAGCGGCTGAGAACCACGTGACACACTCATATAAAGATGGCGGTTATTAAAGAGGAGAGTGAAGACGTGAAGCTTGAAGAAGCATTCAGAGTCAAACATGAAGAAACCGAGGAACAAACAGGTTGGTTTTCATTCTCAAAGCTGAACTCACTCATTTACTAAAAGTTCAGAAGCTTTAGCTGTTGTAATTACTGATAAAGGTCAATAGCTGATACAGCTCAGAGGAGGCACAGAAATAACTGATGCATTTTGATCACAATGAAAAGAACCAGTTTTGAGAGCATAATTAAGAGAATGTAAAAGCACTGGTCCAATAGTTCTAGGAACATCTCTGGAGGAAAGACATTTCAGGTTGTGTGTGAAAAACAAGTACAAACATAAGTTCTAATACGAGTCAAAAATCTGCTCGGGGTAATAATGGAACAACAAAAAAGTGATTAAACAAGAAGTTTAAAAAGTAATTTTCAGTATTATTTACAACAGGATCTGCATTTTTAGCGGTTTTGTTTAATAAGACAATACATACAAATGTGTGCTTCAAAACCACACCTTTCCTGGTAAAAATAAATAAATAAAAATAAAATGAATGATGATTTTCAAAATACATAATGCATAAAGCATGTGATTATAAATTGGTGCTTCACTTGCTGCAATTGACAAGTGATTTTGATCAGAATCAAGAGCTTTATTGCTTGCACAGACTAGCAATGTACCTTGGTTTTGGAGCACACATAGTACACACATAAATATAAGACACTTAATAAAATTAATCAACATTATAATATTATTTAGCAAATTAATGTTTGATTTATTATTACTTAAAATTATATTGTCCCTGGTTCAGTACACACATACAAATATAATAAGACACTTAAGAATAAAATCTAAAAACAGTATAAAAGAAACGGATAAGTTTAGTCAGAATAAACATACTAACTGATTATGAACAGATTTGTAGTATTGTGATAATAATATGAATAAATAGGACTGCATGAGTTTACAAAGATATCAAAATCATGATCAGCAATGCAGTGACTGGCATCAACACAGCAACATAATGACATGTAATTAAAAAAAAGTACATCACACCTGACGAAAAACAAAAAAATATTTTCTAGTAATTTTACAGGCCTTATATTTTTGTCAATGTTGTAATTAGCAATGAATTAAACTTTACCTGTGAAGCAGATTTGTAATGTGATAGCATTGATTACAGTTTCTTAAAAAGTCAAGAACTCTTTTTCGAAGCAAAAAGTGTGCAGAAGTTCTCTGCATCTCATGTGCTGCTTCAAGCCTCTCGCATAACAGCAGTCATCGTTCAGATTAATGCACAGCTCAGACTAACTGTACATCATGGATAAGACACTCCATTCAAAATATAAGGTAATTATTCCCTCAAAGAAATCATAAACCCTCGTAAACCTGGCTGTGTCTATATTATTGTATACTACACAACATTATAATATTATTTTGCAAGTTAACGTTTAAATTATTATTACTTTAAATTATATTGTCCCTGGTTCAGTAGTACTCTTGGACAGACTATAAGTATGATTTCTGCTTTAAAAGTTGCACTCTAATCCTGATTACATGAAATAAGCTGCTCCCGAGCAGGTTTAAGCTTACGGACCTGTAGCTATGACGGCAACTCCAGGGTGAGCTTCGAAGAAGCTAACAATCCATCACTATCTTCTCAGTTGTTTAAAAGGCACTTATCAAATTTGATCAAATGTTTAAACACGACTACGGGACCTTTATTAAATGGATTTCATATAAGGCAATACGGGTTAGTTCATGTTGAATCGGCAGGAGACGTAGATATAGGAAATATGTGACCCTGGACCACAAAACCAGTCCATAAGGGTCTTACATCATATGAAAGCTGAATAAATAAGCTTTCCATTGATGTATGGTTTGTTAGGATCGGACAATATTTGGCCGAGATACAACTATTTGAAAATCTGGAATCTGAGGGTGCAAAAAAACGTACCGTATTGGCCCGAATATAAGACGACCCTGATTATAAGACGACCCCCCTTTTTCCAGATGTACCTTTTGGAAAAAGGCTTTTTAAAAACCAAATCTTGTTTTTTCTCAGTAAAACACATTTTGTCTTCAATTATTTTCATATTGCATATTTTTCCTATTTTAATTTTTGTTTTTAAAGTATGGTAAAAACTGTTAAAATGTACCAACAATCGCATTGAAAAAATATACACTTTTTGATATACCATAAAAAAAACAAAAACAAACAGGTAGCCCATCTGAATTAGGACATTTAGGCTATCCATCTAATAGTAGCCTACCAAAATCTTATTAACAGTAGAAAGTCATATACACCTAGGATGTCTCGGGGGTGAGTGAAACATTTTTGGGTGAACTAACCCTTTAAGACTGGTTTTGTGGTCCGGGGAGAGAGAAAGATCAATCACTAAACACAACAATTACATATATAACTAAAACAAACAAACACCGAGATACCTCTACGACACGAGCGAATGCCTTAAGCACACCGAGAATGACTCCCACCTACCTGTAGAGGGGCGACCTTAACCAAATGCCAGCCACAGGATTTCATCCAACGCTAATGTTAGCCTCTCTGAAAATAAGCTAACATTAGCTACAGTCTGCCAGCAACAACCTAGCCAACATTTGGTTGGCGACCAAATATGACGCTGGAAGAAAAAAAAAAGGGGGCGGTGACTGGAGACACGATTCCATCTAGTCAATTATATACACTTTCCGCTGCCCATTGATAGGGCAACTGTTGAACAGACTCACCAACCACATGCAGGCAGGAAGAACTTCATTAGACCTGCCAGAGTTTAATTTTCTAATAAAAGATAATACTTTTTTTACATGATTTGTTACATTTAAATACCTCTTAGCAGATTTTGTCTCCAATATTAAACTACCTGCTAATTGCACTCCCAATTGCATAAAATAGCCTTGTTGTCAAGTTTGGGTGAGTAAGGGCAAAACACACAAGATGTAGTACCTTCAATGCCCTGTAGACTTCTTTTACACTGTAAACTACTTTTGTAGCAGAAATAAACTGCTGCAGAATTAATCAAGTAATTGCATTACTCATCACAAATGTATTGGAGTAAAGAGTACATGTACTTATTCAGAAATGTAGTCAAGTAGAAAGTAAAAAAGTTGCTATTATCATTGATACTCAGTAAAATCTTTTTGGCTGATTTGTAGTTTTACTAATTACATTTATTCAAATACTTTACAACACTGTTATGAATAAGCTTGACCAAAGTGACAGAATCCTGAAAATTGATACTTAGAAGTCATTATATACAAGCAGCCCTGGAAAAAAAATCAGTTTATATTAGGGCTGCACGATTAATCGCATGCGATATTTAATGCGCATCTTATCAGTAAAGCCGGTTCTGTAATCAGCGGTAAATCTCCATCACCTGCGTGCTTTCACATTGAGCAGCATTAACTACACAGAGCCGTTGTTCACTGACGAGTTGCGCTAAACCACGTTCATATTCGCGCTATTTTTTGCGCAGCTCATCAGTGAACAACGGCTCTGTGTAGTTAATGCTGCTCAATGTGAAAGCCCGCAGGTGATGGAGATTTACCGCTGATTACAGAACCGACTTTCTGACAAGATGCGCGTTAAATATCGCATGCGATTTATCGTGCAGCCCTAGTTTATATGTGTGTGTGGGCCTGACTACTCAATTGATCTAACATCACTAGAAGAGAAATCTAGCCATGAGTAGATGCCAAAAGCAGGTCATGTGTTCAATTTATTCATCTTGTTTCACCTTAGGTCTGATGACACTGAAAGAGGAGAGTGAAGTTCTGAACGAAACGGATGAGAAATATAAGCTTGAGAAACATCAGGAGTTCATACCTGAAGAAAAAACGTTTAGTTGCTCACAGGCTGAAAAGACTTGTTCACGAAAAAGCGCTCAAAAGACAAGAAGCTGCGAAAAGAAGCATTTTACCTGTCAACAGTGTGAGAAAAGTTTTAACCTAAAAGGAGACCTTATCAGACACAGGAGAGTTCACACTGGAGAAAAGCTGTTCCCCTGCCAAAGGTGTGATGTAAGTTTTACTCAAAAAGGAAGCCTTAACAGGCACACAAGAATTCACTCCAGAAAGACACTTTACACATGCACTCAGTGTGGAAGGAGTTTTGAACAACATGGAAACCTTAAAGTCCACATGAGAATTCATACAGGAGAGAACACTTTTACCTGTCACCAGTGTGGAAAAAGTTTCAACAGAAAAGGAAACCTTAGACACCACATGAGAGTTCACACCGGAGAAAACCCTTTCACCTGCCAACAGTGTGGAAAGAGTTTCACTCAAAAAGTAAACCTTATCAGACACATGACAACTCATACCGGAGAGAAGCCTTACACCTGCCAACAGTGTGGAAATGGTTTTAATCAAAAAGGACACCTTAAAATCCACATGAGAGTTCACACTGGAGAAAAGCTGTTCCCCTGCCAAAGGTGTGGTGTAAGTTTTGCTCAAAAAGTAAGCCTTAACAGGCACACAAGAATTCACTCCAGAAATAAACTTTCCAGAAAGAAGCCTTACACCTGCCAACAGTGTGGAAGGAGTTTTGAACAACATGGAAACCTTAAAATCCACATGAGAGTTCACACTGGAGAGAAGCCGTTCACCTGCCAGCAGTGTGGAAAGAGTTTCACTCAAAAAGTAAGCCTTAACAGGCACATGAGAACTCACACCGGAGAGAAGCCTTACACATGCCAACAGTGTGGAAACCGTTTCAGTCTATATGGAAACCTTAAAATCCACATGAGAACTCATACTGGAGAAAACCCTTTCACCTGCCAACAGTGTGGAAAGAGTTTCACTCAAAAAGGAAGCCTTATCAGACACATGAGAACTCACACCGGAGAGACAGAGTTTCAATCAGCTTTAAAACTTTAAAGTCCATATGAGAAATCAAAGGCTGCATTTACGCTTGTCATTAACATGCGACTGGTATCTGGATGTTGTCCACATACACATTGAAAAGACAAGTGTAAACGCGCTTCTGATTGGAATGCTATCCGATCAGCGTGTCCTGGTCCAGAGGTAGTCGAGGACGTATTGTGATCGGCTCTCAGTGTAATGTAAACGCAATCCAGCCATCGAGTCTGCATTCGCAGGTCAACGTCACGCAAAACCCCGCCCCCTCTCTCCCGAACTGTCAGAAGAAAGATGGAGGACACCAGGCCGTGGAGCGCTAGTGAGACTCGTACACTTAACACCGTGTCTACACCGGACGTGACCGTTGTTGCGCTGCAACAACGTGAGGCTCTCTACACTGGCCGCGACAAAGCGACTGTTGCAAATCATTTGTTCTTTGTGTCAGTACCTCATAAACAGAATGAGGCAGCCGTTTACTATCGGGATTTGTCGTGTTGCACCACATCCAGTGTAGACAGCATCACTGATTATAGTATTTTGTCACGTCCGGTGTAGACACGGTGTGAGACTCATTTAAATATTGCGCGGGAAAGAGGGATCTGATCGGTTATCCAGATAGAGAAGTCACTTGATGTTGGCAAATGTGAACGCGCCATGTCCTGATTGACTGATGATCTGATCTGCTTGATCAGATCACGGTGATCGCATGTTAATGCCAAGTGTAAACACAGCCAAACTGGACAAATGCCTTCCACCTAAGAGCACTGTAGAAACCGTTTCGCTGTAAAAGGACGCAATAACAGGCACATGAGAATTCACGTTGGAGAGAAAGTGTTTTGATCAACTTGTTATTGTTATCAAACTTTATTTTACATTTGCAATTACTTTTATTCATTTGGCAGACGCTTTTATCCAAAGCAAATTACAGTTGAGGAAAACAACAAGCGATTCATCATAAGATGGCAATAAACATGAGAAGTGCCTGTTATACAAGTTTTCAGTCATCGTTCAAAACCATAAATCTAGGACAGGAAGATATTAAGTAAGGGATAATGTACATCCAGCAGGTTATCGCAGAATAACCCCCGACAGGGTGATCAGGAACCCGAAGTGAATCAGGCCTTGTATCACCCTGAGGGGGGTTATTCTGCGATAACAACCGGCTGGATGAACATTATCCCGCTTATTACACGGCTGCTTACCACATAAGTAAATAATTGGACACGAAATATTGAGTTTAAATATTTGAACGCAAAGCTTCCGTGAAGAAAGCAGTTGCTAACAAGCGGCAAGTTCAAACTAGACGGGCATTTAAGGGATACGGTGCATTCAAACCACTTATTACACAACATTTCACCACCTAAATAATCAAGGCGATAAAATGTTTTAAAATCTTACCAGTTTGTTAGTTATCTTATAATCCATTACAGTGTACAAAACAATCGTCGCAAAATGGTAGCAGCTGGACTTGGTTAATCCGCTTCTGGCTCTCTGGGCTAGAGACTCAGGACTTGGTTAATCTGCTTCTGGCTCGCTGGGATGGAGACTCAGGACTTGGTTAATCCACTTCTGACTCTCTGGGCTAGAGACTCAGGACTTGGTTAATCCGCTTCCGGCTCGCTGGGATGGAGACTCAGGACTTGGTTAATCCACTTCTGACTCTCTGGGCTAGAGACTCAGGACTTGGTTAATCTGCTTCTGGCTCGCTGGGATGGAGACTCAGGACTTGGTTAATCCACTTCTGACTCTCTGGGCTAGAGACTCAGGATTGGTTAATCCGCTTCTGGCCCTCTCTGGGCTAGAGACTCAGGACGAGCTGCATCTGTTGTGTTGCTGAATGAAGACTCTGCATGAAGGGCATCTGTTAATGCTGGGGTGGGCAATTAATTGTCCCAAGAGAGTGACGAGAGAGGACCAGGCCTGGATTTGATGTTGTTGTTTTGTTTCTGTTTGTGCGCGGCAGTTGTCCATGAGGGGCTGTCGTGCTATTTTAAGTTTTGTGTTTATTTTATTATTGAAGATTTGTTTAAATGTTCGCCGGTTCCCGCCTCCTTCCCGATCTACGAACTGTTACAACACTTAACTCAGTTCTGCCCAATATATTATATCTCTTTATAAAAAAACAGTAAGTGAAAGATTACAATGATACAATGAAAATGTGGAGCACACAATTATATCACTATCTAATGAACATTCACAAAAATGTTTGAAAATGTGGATTTTTTGACGTTTCAAAAGCTAGCATTACAACGCAAGTATTTCAAAGACCAGCATCACATTAACTTTATATAAAAAAGCAATAAATGCCTCAATGTTTTTTGTTTGATTGTTTTACCTGGGTTTACTTTTCTTTAGGGATGCACCGATACCACTTTTTCCATTACTCGCCCAATACCGATACTTTTATTTTTGGTACTTGCCGATACAGAGTACCGATACCGATATTTTCATCGCTTTGAACGTTCTCTGTATCCCACCTTCTCACGCGCCACGATTGGTCAATTATGTACAATGCCAGCATGTTATTGGTCAAACTACTTTTCGTTCATTACCTTCAGCAAGTATGAAAACAGGAAAACAAAGCCAAAACCTGGATATTTTAGACAATACATGAATCCAGGTCAGGACGTGTCCAGGAAAAAGAGGACGTATGGTCACCCTAATGCTGTATAGTAGGGAAGTATTTGATTTTGGACACAGCGCAAGACTTGATAGGTCAGATAAAGGAAACATCTAAACTGCATACTTATGGTGTGTGAATAGGGTTGGGAAGCATTACTACTCTATTCTCTGTCAGTGTTTCCCAATCCTAGTCCTCCAGTACCTCCAACTCTTTCTCTGTTTTCTGACTCACCCATTTGAGTTTCTGAGATGTTTGTACTAATAAGCTAACGAGTTAAATCAGGTGGGCTTGATTAGGTTGACATCTAAAATGTACAGTGCAGTGTCTAGGACCAGGGTTGTGAAACACTGCTATATGTGTATTGATCAGTGTTTATATGTTACGACTTTGGTCCTGGAGGGCCACTGTCCGGCCAAGTTGAGCTCCAACCCTGTTTGATTAGGGTTGGAGCTAGTGTTAATTTCGTTAACAAAATCTATGACAAATAATGTTTGTCAACGAAGTTTTTCCCCCTGATGAAAACGAGATGATAATAAGGTCATTAAACAATAACTGAGACTAAATGAACATGCAGTATTGTTGACGAAAAAAGACGAGACTAAAATGTAGTTAAAAGACCAAAAACTTTACCAAAACACTTTTATTCTTGTTGAAAAAAGTGGAGCCAAAACACTTCAGACTGCTGTACAAGACTGTATTATGCGAGCATTCATGTTTGTCGGATCTCAACTGTATTGTTTGCTGATTGTAACGTTACTTGCACAACCTCTGTGTGGCAATAAGTCTCTGTTGCTATTGTTTTAGAAGAGAAACATTAATGCAATTTGGAATTACTATTAGGAATTTCTCTTATAATATTTGAGAGTAGGTTTTGGCTACGCCAGTTTTCATAACGTAGACAGGCCGAGTGTATATCTGAAGTCTTTGGTGTTTATTTAGCCTCCAATTGATATCCTGTGATAAATCTGTACACTAGATGAGGTCAAATAAACCATGCATACGAGTCGATATTCTATTGATTTCTGCTTATTGGTGAAAGAGCAATTTCTAATAAAATAAATAAATACATTTCCCAAATGACAACAATCATTGCAGTTAAAATTGACCAGAATAATATTTTTTATATTTTATTTGTATATATTTATATTTTAACCATTATACAGTAAGACGGGAATGTGACGAAAATGTGTAAGTTTCCACTGACTAAAACTAGACGAAAATGCTCAGATATTTAGGCCTGGTTTCACAGACATGGCTTAGACTAAACCAGGATTAGGCCACAGTTAAATTAGGACATTTAATTTTTTATTAATGTGCCTTAGAAAAAAACATTACTGGTTTCCATCTTGAGACAAAACAAAGGCATTGATATATTTTAAGATCAATCCGTGCAAGTTTCTTTCAGTTGAAACAGCTCAGACTTGCATTTTAATCTTGGACTAGGCTTAAGCCTTGTTTGTAAAACCGGGGTTAGTCGACTAAAACTAAAACAGGACAAGTTGACTATGATAAAAACTAAAAGTTACATTTGACACAGGACTAAGACTTAAATTAAAAATAGCTGACAAAATCAACATTAGTTGGAGCTAAACGCTGCAGGACAGTAGCAATCCAGGACCGAAGTTTCCATGTCTTTGTTGTATGTGAATAAAATCCTAAATTCTGGTCATCAGAAGGCTTGGTTTAAAACACTCAAATCACAATTTATTTTTATCATGACTTTATGCACTTTGGACAGCACTCGTAAAGGGTCATGAAACCCCAGATATGTACAGGCTGCACATCACTGAGAACACTAAAAGCACTCATAAATGTTATCAACGAGTGGAAATCTCTTTGGCTCTTCTTTCCTGATCTTCAGTCAGGCTCAGTGGGGCGATTTTCCATGCTTGTCTGACAAGGTATGGTTTTTCACCAAGTAGCGGACTCCTTCAAATCCTGGGGTCTCACCTATGGTGCACCAAATCACTTAAAGTAATCAATAAAACTGGGAAAGCAATACATCCCCAGAAGAATGTACAAATCAAGCAATCATTTATCAGTATGAGGATAAATAGTTTAAAGGGGTCGTGAACTGCATTTTAAATGGGACTTTTATATCAAAAACTGTCATAAATTAGAAATAAGTGTTTCTAACCTGATGTAATCCCTCTAATTTGTTATTAAATGCTCAAGTTAAAGGGACGCGTCTCCTTAAAGACTGAAGTGTAAATGCCCAGTGCTATGATTTAACATATTTTTATAAAATCTGTATTACATTCTGAACTCTTGAAAACCTTTCCTTTACATTAGGTAATTATTTTTAGTTCACTAATCCGGTTTCCTCTCATCTGTGAGTTCACTGACAAGAAGTTGATGCAGTTTTTGTCATCGTAATCATGAGAAAGTAGAAAACGAGTCCGATTGGCAGCTTGTTTTCAATAAAAGCTGTTTTTGGATTAGCAAAGTTCTGAAACTTATAGTATGTTTTTATCGAACATTTGACATTCAATTTTGAATTCTCATTTAATGA